CCACTTCATCGAGCACTATGCCGGAAAGGGTCAACTGACCGAAACCATGCGAGAGTCTCATGGCACCTCCGCCCGCCTTGATCTTCAATATCACAAGGGGAATGACATGTTGCGCTCTTCCGGTTTCGTGTCTGGGCCCCATGCTTATATACATGTGCACGGTTTTGATCCCTCGACCATGTGAATTCACCTAGGACACATTTGGTCAGCATACTTCGTGGTGCACCTGGTGGAAAATTCGTGGTGTGGAAGGGGGTGAAATGCTCCACTTGGGTGCAAATATCCCAGCCTTCATGCGGTCGTTCATACCTATCACCATTAGGCTTTGAAGACACCGTTCAATGCGTAAAGGATGCCAACATCATGGTTGCAAGGAGGGGCAGCCAAGCTACCGGCATTAATTTACGGCCGGAACCATGCCATCTGCAGCTCTTCAAAACTTTGAAACCGGAGCAAGTTCCCATCCCTCCCCGCCACTGGCTGCAGGAGCGTGCTGGCTGCATGGCTTGCCCTGGCCTTGGGGGCTGCTTTTGTGTTGGAACAGCCGGGGAGCAGTTTGCTGGCAAGACACCCACGGTTCCAGCTACTTTGCACTTTCTTCAAGGCATGGGGTCAACTGTATGAAGTTCAATCGCAGGTAAGCGCTGAATTTAATCAATTGTTTTTGATGACGGCCGGTGTCCCTGCAGATTTGGAGAACATGGTTTTGGATGGCACACTATGGCCATCCATGTCCCAAAAGAACCACCTTGTGGAGCAATAGCAAGCTAATTGCACACTTTTGGCGTGGAAAGCTGACCAAGAAGTTCAGGGAGGAGTTGAAGGTAAAGAACCCCAATTTCAAGCCAGTGATCCAATACCATGACAAAAAGGGAAAGAAAAGGTTCCATGGAACAAAGCACCTTACTGAGACACAGAGACTGGGTTGCATGTATAATATATGAATGCATCTACCATCATATGCCGGTCGTACTATATTCGATACATGTTCATGGCAGCCAAGGACCTATACGAGGGAGTTTTCTCAGAGAATGGCCCAGCTCTATCCGCACATGGTCGATGTGACCCCGCCTCCAACTCAAGATGCCCCAGCCGAGTTCAAGCGTCTCTGGGATGAGTGTGGTGACCTCGACAAATGGGAAGATGCAAACCTGGCTGGTGTTGTTCGCTACCTTGTGGGTTCAAAGGGTTTAAATGTACCCATTGGATGGGATTGGATCATTCCTGAAAGTGTCTGATTCTAGCTTGGTTTGGCCATGTTGGATTGACCATATTTGGTGGGCCAATTTTTACCAACGTGGCAATTAGTGGCATGATGTTGCACGAATGCGGTTCAAAAGTGTCAGCATGTTGCATGTGCGCCCCAGACACTTATATGATCGCGGATGCATTCGCATGATGGATCCACATGCATGTCATGCTAGCTTTTTGGTTTTGCTGAGAGCTTTTTCACGGCGGTTTTCGAGATTCACGAAAATTCGAGGTGTGGTGCTTCGAAAGCTTCGAAAACAAAACTCGAAACACATGATCGATGCACGAAACTAATTTTCGTGACACATTCACGAAAAACGCTTTTCGTAAAACATCCATGCAGACCCATGAAACGACCATGCAGACGCATGAAACATCCGGAACCATCCGTGCACGAAAACATGGTCCCACGAAATGTGTTTTTTCGCGAATGTGTAGCTAATATCTCGAAAAGGTTTCGCGAAAGTAGGTTTCGTGTTTAGAGGACCATATTTATATATCCCTGAAGGCATGTCGACCTCCCCTCTACTTCGAAATCAGTGGTCAGCAGAAACCTTACTGTCGGCCATCAAGTGTATGGATGCTGATGCAGCACTTGCACACATTCAAGCTGACCTTCCAGATGACCCAGATCAACTTGCAGAGTTGTACCAGGCTGCAATTGTATAGTATGGGAGGTGCATGCCATGCCGGTTGAATATATACATGCATATATTGCGCACCCGTCAGTGCCCGCAGGTACTGTGCGATTTGAGGTCATCGTCATCCCCGATGCCTTCACCAATCCCTGCTTCTCCCAAGCAGGCAGACAAGGCGCGCCCGCTGCCGAAGGCCAGCCCTTGGCTGGTGTGTGAACTTAAATATGTATAAACCCATGAAGCCTGGAGCCCAACAACTGTTGTGTGGGCTCTGAACTTCTCAATGCATGCGCTATCAACTAATGGCAGGCTGCTTGTGAACTTCCGCCTGCGGAACCCACTTCTGCATGCAGATCAGCTTCAGCGGCAACCTTGCACTATCCATATGTGACATCAGAGGAACTTACTATGTTGCCTAGACCTGCCATAGCTAGACCTTCTACAGCCCTGCAACCGACCCCTGTGATGGCGCCTCTTCCAAAGGCGAAGTGTCTGGACCGAACTTCTGAGAAGGTCAAGCGTCTTTGTGCACCGACGCCAACCAGGGCGCCAGAGTTGAAGAGATCGGTGGTCAGGTCCTTGGAGAACGAGTTTGAGTCTTGTCCGGCCTATTACCCTGAATCCAGCTTGGTTTATAGTTCTCCTCAGCCGGCACGCGGCATCACGCCGCATTTCACCCCGGTTGTTGCCCCTTCTACTCCTCCAAAGGCTCCAAAGGTGGTGCAGGTGGGAAATGCATGCCGAACAAACAATTGAATACATATAATATGCAATTTCAGTGCCACTCAATGCCCAAACTCGAATTTTTGGGGTTTGCAGGATTTGGCGACATCGCTGAAGGACAAGATTGCAACCCAGATTGATTCTATCAAAAAGACACTACCTGCAGAACCTTCTCCGGCTCCAACCCTACCTGACGACCAGGAGCATTAGCAGCAACAACATGTTTGAGGGCATATGATATATCGATCATCTCTCTCTCTCTGCATGTGTATTATATTATAATATATATATATTAATAATATATAGCAAGTCTCGGATAGCTCAGGCGAGTGACTCTGCAAAGAGAGCTCCAGCTCCACGTGCGAATGCTGCAGATGAGGAGCTGGCACCGGAGGAACCTGACATTCCGACGGTCATGCATCCCAAAGACATGACCCGGAGTGAGAAGGAGAAGGTTCGAAGGATCTGCACCCCTAAGTCTACGACGGGACGTCTTGAGGTACCTAAGGATATTCATGAGATGTGGAACTCGGAGAAGGGACGGGAGAAGTTGCTATCCCTTTGGTGCAAGTCAGGTGGTCTCAAGGCTGGTTCATGAAAGGAACTCATATGATTGCGTTATATATATAGTCCCCCAACAATGGCTCATGTGTCACAGGTAGTCTTTGTGGAGCGCGTGGAGATTTTGAGCATTACTACCAAGACCAAAACCTTGGAGGTGAAGGGTGGGTTCTACAGTGTGGCGGACATGAAGGAAGAGCTGAAGTACAGCCAGTAACAAAATTCAATTTTATGATTTAGTATACAAACATATGGCATGGGTCTTGTGAGCCGTTTTGTTTGGGTGTACATGCGTACATGCTGTATCTAAGGGATCGAATCGACAAAATCATCAAGTGGGCAACCGCTCGAGGACTCTGCCGGCCACTCGTTTGGACTTGTTTCAATTGATCCTTCAAGGGTGCCATTATTCTATGTCCATGCATGCATCTAATGTGCCTTAGGTTGTGTGAATACGACGAGACCACGATGGAGTATTGGGTCAACACGCGTACTGAAGGGTCACTGAAGAGGGAGGACGTGGAACGTCTTTCCCGAAAGAGATCCTTTGAGCAGGACGCAGAGCTGGATGACTTCCCAACCATGGACATGAACCCCGGGGGTTTTGAAAACTTAGGCGCAGCTGGAAACTTGACACTGGAAGGTGATGCACACAAGACTGCAACGCGAATGCAAGTATATAAGTTAAAATAAGAAACCCATCGTGCACAGTGCATGAAGTTTCAACAGCACCCGCTTGTGGTTTTCATGACCCAAGGCACCAGGCAAGCTTCCTGACACTATGAAGGGTGTTTTGAAGAGTATGTCAAGCCTTACCAACACCAGTGACAAGCTTCGCGATCTAGCAAAGGTCGACACATCCTGTGCTACGCCCCTTGTACTAATTGTGGTCTCCTGCAGTTCATGATCACACAGTTTACTTCCTGCCTCAGCCCAGCAATGCCCAGGGTAGTATCCAAGATGGACACCACGCAAAAGAGCCTTGAGAAACTCTACGATGAGTTGGCGGATATGCAAGCAGAAGGTGGCAGCAATGGGTACACAAAGGAGTTTCTAGGCTAAAGTCTTGCCAAACATAATTTGAAGAGGGCGCTTCCTTGAAACCCAAACACCCTACAGAAAGAAATGGATGTTCCCCCCCAAACAGCCACTTCCTATGTAAAGGATCTCAATTGCCATATTGGAACAACCATTTGTTTCTGGTTGCTTTGGTTCCCAGGTGCAATTCTAATTAGAACAGTTTTGCTGCCCAAAGTTTGCATTGAACAATTCTTTCTCAATGCAACTGGCTCCATCTCAAGGATGTGTGACAAGTTGGAGATGGCCTACAAACAAGTTAGCAAGGAGACACTTGGCTCTCTAAAGGGTGTCCACCCGATTTCAACCCCGGCCTGAAAATAGTGCCAAGCCTCTTGCAATCCATCCATTGTGTAAGGACTGTGCGAGCCACCAGCGCTGAAGCAGCTGCAAAGCGACATCCTGATGTAGGGTCTGTGACATCGCGGTTGCTTGAACTCCGTGTGTACTGTGTTTATCTTTTGGCTAAAGATGTTTTCCCTCAATGAGGCAATTTGTGGTGAAGGCCAGGAAGTTGAAGCATGTAAAGGAAGAGCGTGAATCTTAGATGTTATGAAATTTGCATCCGTGGTATACAGCTGGCCGGATGCATGTTGGGTCTCCCAACTTGGGCATGGGGGTGGAAAGAGCACCTTCTAGAACCTGAGTTGGCTTGGGGTTCTGGGATGGACTGTCGACGTTTGCCGATTGAAGAAAGGCGGCCCTATTCCAATTTCACCGCGGAAACTCTTGATTCATGCAAAGTAGACAAGCATGCAAGCAGGAGGACATGCAGCAATGAAAACTTGCATGGTTCTTGCCCCTGTTCACCATCTTCCCATCATGTCCCATCAACGTGCTACGATGCCAGGGCCCATTCCGCTGAGTGACACAGTCAAGCTCATTGGCAAAAACTACAGCCGTGGTGTTGCTTGGCTCCAACCTGCAGTGAAACTTTAAACCGAATGCGATCAGTAAACTTGCTGTAGCTTTCAAAACAATGGTTGCAAAAAAATATAATTGCACAACCTTGAAGCTGCTCAAACATTCTCAAAGTGTGCAAAATACATGCACTAAAGGCAAAAAGGACTTATGAATGGTGGCTAGTATCTCTTTGACTTCAGGTTCCTGCAGCCGACTGCGTGGAGCAAGCCGTGGCGGCTTCCAAACGCGATGACTGCCCGACCCTCCACAAGATAGCTTCCATACGATTGGAAGATGCTGACACACCTTTGTTTAAAGCACTTCTTGGATGCGGCCAAGCTCTAAACGTTCGTGTGCAGAACATCATGCTGGGGGAAGAAAAGCTAGAATATCCGTGCCTAAATCCAAAAGATATGATACATGCCATTGCTCATCGAGGGTGTATTCACAAAATCATTGGCATGCCATTGGAGAGGGCCCATGATGGTCTCAAAGCTTTCTGGGAGAGATTCCGGGTGGCATTCCCGGAACACGAAGTTTTCCAATGTGGTCTCCAAGACTATGGCAACGTAATCCCATACTATTTGCATGGTGATGGTGGGCGCACCTTTAAGAAGGACAGTATAATGATTGCATCAATGTTCCCGTGTTTGGGAATGGGAACATCGAAGCGGCCTGTGGCCGACATGCAGCCTTCGCAAACCGGGCCTCAAAATCGTGGGACCAAACGCCGGCTGCATGATCCAAAACTGGATGAAGTGGCCATGGGCGTCAATATGCTCGGAAGTTCACTTGGCAACCGGTTTCTATTGACTGCGATACACAATGACTATATCAAGGCTGACAAAACAGTCTTCTATGATTTGATGAACTTTTGGGGGCGGGAGCTAGCTGATTTGTTCAATGTTGGATTTCAGCATGCAGGTCACACTTTCAAGGTTGCAATTCTTGGAATGACTGGAGACGCACCGTTTCTCCGAGACGCTGGTTTAATGACAAGGAGTTTCAGCAATGTCCGCAAATCCTCCACTGCACAAACCTTGTTGCCTGGAGTTTGCCATCTATGCGCTGCTGGGAAAAGCAATGGACCACCATATGAAGACTTGGACTTTCTATCTGCGGAGTGGGTTGCCACAATGGGTAGAAGAAACATACTCCCATGGGATGAACCAAGTCCGCTATTTTCTCATTTACCTGCAGAACAAAACGATTTGGCCAATTTCTTCAAGGGAGACCTGTTTCATATATACTATGCAGGCGTTGGAAAAGATTTCTGCGCAAGCTCCCTAGTGTACATGTTGCAGGGGGTGCTCAAACAGCGTTCCAAGGAGGATTCTATGCAGTTCCTCAATCAAGAGCTACAACGCTTCCAAAAAAGCCACACATGCGAGCGTGTGCACTTCGGCAAGCTCACTTGGGACCTATTGGGGTACAAAGGGCCTAGGATCTACCCTTTTGCAAAGTGGTCGAAAGGGATGGACACAGGAAAAGTGACAAAACTGATTGAATGGCTTACAGAGGAACACGTTCACGGAGATGCACAGGATACAATGCTGACTTTGATTCGCGATGCTTGTGTGTCGATGGGCGTGTTTCTCCGAACTCTATTTGCTTCAGGTTTTTTTCTAGAGATGGATGATGCTCACAGAGCCATCTCTGCAGGATACACTTTTTTGAAGATCTATGGTGAACTTGCAAAACAATCCTACAAGCTTGGCAAATGCTTGTACAAACTGAAGCCAAAAGGGCATGGGCTATCTCACTTGGTGCTAGCGATGTTTCAACAACACAAGTTGGGCGCTGTTTGCAACCCCATCGCATTTTCTACTTTCCAATGTGAGGACTTTGTCGGAAGAGTAGCACGGCTGTCACGCAGGGTATCACCTCGAGTGCAGGGATTGAAGACGTTGTACAGATATCTTACAGCGGTAGAACATGCATTAGTCAATGATGCCAGGCCTGACCCGAGTTAAAAGTGAGATTTTGTGTCAGTTGGTGTGGGCCTGGGAACGGGGTTTTCTACGAAAGACCACTTCTAAATTGAAAACAGTCTTCGACCATTTATAAGCAGATGTTTCAGGCTGCAGGTATATATATGGTGATCAATCAACTCAATATCAACCTTGATGTCGGTTGATCATCAACCGGTTCAATACACTGCACCGGCGGCCCCAAGCAAGACCCAGGCCCTGACGTCGTGACGTTCTGCATAGGACTGGAATATATACCCACCTCCAAGGGCCTATTCATTGACACCGCTTGGAGGGGAAACCTTGGTAGGTCAATCAATGCACCAGCAGTCGCAAAGGGTTGCCGAACTTGGAGGATAGGTAAGGATACTTCAAGTTCTGAGCCCACGCAAGCTGAACAGGGAGTTCAGGTCATGCAGTTGTCTTAATTTTTGCTTTAGTGTGATGTTTGTTCCGTCCACAAGCAGCAAAAGGCCTTCCTTTTAGAATACTGTAACTGTAGTTCATCGTGATTCAACGGACAAAGCAGGCCACCAGGCCACCAGCAGGACCCTGTCCCAACCGCTTCCGAATTGGTTCTGCTGACCAACTGAGGATTTCCTTTCTAGGAATGCCCGCCGCGGCAGAGTGGTTGGGGCGAAGTTTGCCCAGCCGGGCTGCTGACACCCCACTTCCCTTTGCGCAGTGGTCCGTGGATGGCCAGGTGTTTCGAGACGCAGATGGCGTCATTTTCGGGTCAAATGTCTTTGTTGCTTTGATTTCTAAGGGGCTGAGCTGGCTGAAGTAATAGTCAGCTTTGCCTCTCTTCAACAGCAGAACTGGTCATCCAAGTGTTCATAGATATTCCTCTTCTTCGCCCCCAAGGGGCTGGTGGAGGAGCTGCTGTCCCCAGCAACAGGTGGCGATTGGTCAAACTCATCGACGTTTTTCGAGGTATCTTGAGGTGGTGAGGGCCTGTTGCATGCCTAGGACTTGTCATTAATGCCCTGAGAACAAATTTCAGCGCCCTCCAACAGGTCACCAATTAAGACCTTTTAAGGCCTAACAACCTTCTAGAGGAGACCTGTAGAAAGTCGGTTGCTGGCACTAGTATAGTGTGGACCTCTTTGGAGCAGGCTTTTGCAAATCCTTCAAGCCGCCCATTCTGCACGATCTGGCTTGGCGGATCGGGTCGAGTTTCCCTATGTCCCTCGGATTTTGCCCAGGTTGGACAGCAACTCACAGATGACAGACCTTATACCAGGTGTTCAGAATGTCAAATGCCTTGGAGGACCACCAAATCCCCCAAGGCTGCGGCAATATGACCACCATGAAGGTCTTGAAGTTGCTTGCTTTATATCTGCCCTTGGGGCACTCTTAGGCCCAGGCCTTAGCCTCTTTGCTTCAGAAGGAAAGTGCTACTAACAGGTGGGCGAATTCCTTAGCAGAGGATCTGTTCGGACAGGCAAGTGCTGGGAGACATGCAGACCGGCCAAACGCAGGGCCTGACCGGACCGGAGACCACAAGAGCTTCAGCCATCTGAAGCTGCGAAACGTGGCGCGTGCGGAGGAAAGATGCCGCGAAACGTGACGCATGGCGCGACGTCGTTTTGGTGGCATGTTCGGGGTCCAGAATGATCTAAAACCTGACTCAGAATGATCCAAAACCTGACTCGCAACTAAAAGACATTCCAGCGACATGCTTCAGTTCTGCATGGGAAGCAGATGGTCACAGAACGCGGAATTCGCTTGTGAGAATTGCTTCCTGAGAGACGGTGTTGCGTCGATCCGCGAATCGACGGATTCGTCGGTTGACATCTTGCAGATGCTGTCCACCAACTGGGCTTGCTTTAGGGGATGGTTATGGTCCCGGACTGGGTACATCCCCCGGCATGGAAGGCTTTTTCACCAGCTTCCTGGCAGCAGCAACTTCAAGACCACCTGATCTCCCTCGCTCGGAGATCCGCCTCCGCCACCACGCACATTCCATAGGCGACATTTGGAGGAGGCAGCATGGCCCAAGGAGCGTGCGAAGTGGGACGAGGAGTTTTCCGTAAACGGGACGCGCACGTGATTTTCACGGTGTGCATGTGTGGCACGGTCCGGATAGGGCCGGCCTTTTGCATCGTGAAACGGCTAACTATCATGTTTCAAGGACGAGCTGACTTGCCAGCAAGTGATGTGAATGATGTGAATGATTTAAGGCTAGTTGCAGACAATCCTGTCGCAAAAACGGCGAAAAGAACCGCATGTCACAAGTGTTTTTGACCATTGGAAAGGATCCATGTTTGGTGGCGCGTCCTGTGCGACAGAACCGATGAAGACCGATGACACATGGTCGTTGTACCGTCACAGCTGTCACCTCTCCCAAGTGTTGCCATCACCGGATCTTGGTCGGGTTTAACGGCCGATTTGTGGAGCATCCATGGGATGTGACGGATTACACTGTGGAAGAGGCCCACATGGAAGCGGGCTTGGCATGGACCTAGTCATGGAAGACGATTTTTCCAGTGGGTTTTCAGGGTCCATGTGGGTCTCTTCCAGAGTGTGATTGAACTTGAGGGGAGCTTCTCTTCAGAGGCTTGGAGCCACGAGCCAGGAGCTCAAGCAAGAGCGACGATGCTGGGGGCACCGAGATGGAGAATGGTGTGAGAGGTTTCCTTCCAAAAAAGGAGCTGTTCTTCAATATGTCCCATACATGGGTGTATAATCCAATCAGTATCATATCATATCATATATATCATATCATCAAATCATGTGACTTGGAATCGTGGGAATCATCTATCATGGCTGGCGGGCTGGAGCTGAGCTCTCCCTCCCTCTCTCTTTGTCTCTCTCTCTCTCTGTTTCTCTCTCTTCCCTAGACTTCCAAGACCATTTAAAAAATGGTTGACCTGGTTTTTGTAGTGTAAAATCCCTAGTTGATTTCATAAAGCCTATTAAAGTAATGGTTGTTGGAAGCCTAGGGTCTTTGTGATATTGTTTTGGTTGCACGCAGTTGTCCGATAGGTGACATCGTTGAGAAACCAACAAGCATGGCTTCAGCGTTCTGAGCGTTTGGGGGAACCATGTTGGTGTAAATTTACAAGGGTGCATCTCAGTTTGGCGGAGGCATGCTGTTCATTGCCGTTGGACCCCCCAACGCCCTCGACCCTCCTTGTAAACCAGCGTCCGCGATAGACGAAGCGAAGTCGTCCAGCAACAGTTGGGGCGACTCTAATCCTCGTTGTAAGTCTTAAGTCCATGCTTTGCGGGATCATATATTGGACTCTTTGGACACCCGACTAAAAGAGGATACTCTCGCAAAGGATGAGTCCTTGCGGGCCTGATCCCCAAGCTTCTTCTCACTGCTGGACCGAGCTTCCGCATGCACATACATTTGGCCAACCAAAGCAGCAGCTCCCAACCAGCGAGATGCTTCTGATGTTTTGTTGATCAGGTTTTGAACGGCTTCCCCGTGGTCGATGCAGGTGATCTTCTAGATTTATTATAGGTCACTTGCAACATCCGACCATTCCTACTCTCTACCAAAGTTCCATGTCGGCGTGCCTTTTGGAAGGGATTTTTGGCCGGATGGGTCTAAAAACTCCATGAAACTCCTGAATACTGAATACTGAACCTGTTTTCGAAATCACGCCAAAACACACGCTTTGCTCCACTTCGGGCGGCGTGACCCATGGCGCGTGCATGGCCGAAGACCTCCCGGCGCATGGCCTTCGCCGCAGTGTCCGCGGCCACGGCGTCGTTGGCCGCGGCGTCCCTGGTCACCGCGCCGCGGCCGAGGGCGGTGGTGCCATTGCTGGGAGGGATGCTTGGGGTGCAAAGAGGTTTGTTGCGCGTTTTGAGGGCCGACCGCTGCAAGCACAACGAATGTTGCCAAGACGGAAGAACATCAAAAAGAAGATAGAGATAGCACCGCCCAGCCTTGAAATCCACCACGCCAGCCGATCAACTTTCAGGAAGAGACCCATATGGCTAAGGAACAGGGCTTGGCATGGACCTTTGCAGGACTGTTTGGTTTTTGTTTCCTCTACAAACCCAGGGATGTTCAGCTTCGTCTCTTCTGAACTCTGCCGACCCCAGAGGGGTCTTTGTCTACCCCCCAGACAGGTCATGTCGAATTCACTTGGACCTCTCAGGAGTGCCGCGTGGCATTTCCAGAGCTGGCGCGCCATCACGGACCAGGTGCGCGGAGGCGTGTCCACCGCCCGGCTGGTGGCCGCGGAGAGCGGCGACGACCCACGCGCCAGGCGGGTGAAATGGAGGTCGAGCCGTGGGACACTGGGTTGGGGCAGATCAGGTGGCTGATACCGGTGGAGCCTCCCTTTTCTGTTTTGGTTTCGTCCTGGTTCCTTTAAGCAGATGTGGTTGCAGTGACTTTGCCAACTGAGCCGCAACACGCGACCCCCTAGAATCCTCACCTCAGTTGACAATCCAAACATCCTGCTTTTGCTTTAAGGTAATGTTTTTCTACAAAATGTTCTTAATGTCTCTTTGGGTTTCCTGGACGTGACGTCACATCCACTGTTCGAAGCAAAACGATGTTTGATGTTCATCCGGGTTTTCTTTTTTTCGGCCGAGATGTTCAGCCAGAGACTAACACTCTGAAAAATGCCGACTGACACCCCTAGAATATACAAGTTCATATACACTATTGTAATTATATTCATATATACCAGGACCCACAAGGGGTGGTTAATGGACACCCCTTAACCTGTAAGGAGCTATCAATAGAAACCTCTTAGGGTGGCCTCGTAATAAATGTGTTTTTTTAAACGCCCCCCTCTTTTAGAACGCACCATCCGTTCTTCCGGCCGGCACGGCACCACCTCTAGGTTTGAGGGCACCTTGGACCCGTCGAAGCTGAACGCCGGATTCGCTGGGGTGAACTTGGAGTCCTGGAACAAATTCTGTGGAGGTCGTTGTTCATGTCCAAGGTCCTCACTATATCTCATTATAAGGTGGAATATGTGATAAGGATATTATAAGGTGGAATAAGTGATCACGATTCTATAACTATATGCTTTGGTGGAATTAGCTACTAAGGATTACTGCAGGATTCTTTTTTGCGGCAGGATTATATAGTAGGATCTTCTACTTTTGGTAGGCGGACAACATGCGTGAATTTGGAAATCCGCGCTGAGTTAATTCTGCTTGGAAAAACAACCACTTGGTGTGATGCATGGGTTGGCAAAATTGCACCTAGCATCCTCCAACATGGATGTTGTTGTGTTTTTTCTTGCGTTTTTTTGCCCTGTTGATGTCGATCCTTCTTGGCAAACCCAGCCGTGTTCTTTCGAATCCAGTGGAAAAGGGGCCATACAAGGAGTGTTTGGGATACAGTAAGGATGTCCATTTCCTGGTTTTGCGGTGGTTTTTCTTGCCCCTGTGAATCCTTCGGCGTGGGGAAGATTCGTTTGTCCCAGTTCCTGGACAGCAAATCCAAGAGTTCGGCTCAACGAAGCCGGCGAAATCATGCGAAATCGCACACATCAACCTCCAAGTTGAGCGCGCATCAAAATGGTCAACAGTTATAATGTCGTGAACGGATGCACTACCATGGTTCTGAGGGGTTATATGGTTATGTTTGAGTAGGGTGCAAATGCGTGTTTTTGAGGGGGGCAGACTCTATGATTGTGTTTTCCATGTCTTGTAGACCAGAGTCTCCCATGATCTTATTGGAACTTATAGACCGAATACACCGGGATCGCTGGCGGTATTTCTTTGCCCAGAGACTTCCGACAACCGCGAACCGCGCGTTTTTTGGAATGGAACATTCCTGCAGTCGGCTTAGAGATGAAGATCTGATGGCAAATGTCAGAGCTGTTTCCTGAATGTTCAATGCGTTGACATGTCAGAGCTCTCAGGATGTCAGTCTGCTTCCAGAGAAGATCTCAGAGCTCTCGGGTTTGCAAGTCGATGTCTTCGAGACAGATTCTGGGCGCTTCAGTCAGAGACAACACGCGGAGTGCGGATTCTTGCGGTCCATTTTGGGCAAACTGTTTTGATCTAAGATGCGTTTCATTGGATTTGCTCAGAAACGAGGAGGTGCAGAAACCAGAAAGGCAAGAAGAGAACACAGAAGTTGATGTTGGAACGATTGACTTGATGGGTCAAAGCTCCGGCTATTCATGCGAGTGTGCATTTTCAGAATGATTCAGCAGACCCCCCAATTGATGGTGTTTAAGTCGAGTTGTCCTTAATGAGTAATGTTGTCCTTTCTTTCCGCACGAATGCGCGCAGATTACTTAACAAACAAACTGACCTGACTGTTGCGATGCTTTTTCAGGCTCTGGCCTTCAAGAATTGGAGACCTTACCCAGTTGAGCCAGCAGGAGGGCTTATGATCTGTTCTTTTTTTCCCACCACGGATGTTGCTGGTACAGCTGGTGTGCTCAGGACGGCCGGGAGTACAGCTTGCTGGTGAAGTTGAAGGGTGCTGAGAGTGGATCTTCCTACCAGGTGCCTGGAGTGGGTCCTGGGATATCCTGGCAGATGCACATCATGTGAAGTGGAAAAACTAGGTGATGGTTTTGGATCTGGTTTATTTTTTCAACCGTTACTTGGGATGATTGAACCCGCTGACTCATATTTGTCAAGTGGGTTGAAAGCACCAACCAGAAAGAGGATGTGGGTCAACCTGTGTCACTCGTATGTAGACTCTTCTTAAGAACCCCCACCCAATGTAGACATGGATCGAAAAAGCGTTTCAGGCTTGGGGGTCGAAATATCATCAAGAGTCTACATTGATAAAAAAAGACACATGTCTGCTAAGCCGTGAAAATTGTTTCAGGGCCTTTCGCAGCAATAGTAATGAGACTGCAGTGATTTTAGTGGTTTGACTCGAATTGGGCGAATATTCGGCAACTGGCATGTGTAGGGTGGGTGAAAAGAGGTCAATGTCAATTTAGTTGCGCCCTAGTCTTCGAAGATCATTGATGAAATGGCTGGGCTGGGTGCAGATATAATTCCATATGGTGCCCCGCCCCCGGGGATAAAGACTAGTCTCAACCTTTGATGGTTCCGTAGTGTTTGGCTCTAGGTTTTCATGCCTTGCCTCGGTTGCCATAGCAGGCTGAGGCTGTCGGTGGGTACCTCGGGCCGGTGTAACGCCTGTTACTTGGTCGATCGCATTCACCGAGTGGTCGAAACTCGGTATCCACCGGCAAAGGCTGAGGAACTGACCCATTTCCTGGCCAAGGTGCTCCACACCCTTGAGGCGGACACCGAAACTTTCGAGGCCGATCGCACGTCAGGCCTGGTGGACATTGAGGGCTATTTGGTGGAGGTGCGCAAGGTGGACAAGACAGCACTGTCACCAAAGTTGAGCGCGGGGGTTCACCCTGGAAAGCAGGACCCAAAAGCATCCTCAGCGGCACCGAGCAAAGGGGCAAAGCAAGTTGAGAGTGGCGGGGTATCAGAGAACCCTGGCAAGCAGAGGAGGCGCAGGCGTGAGGACAAGACAAGGTCTCGCAGCCGAAGCCGACGAAGAGAGAAGAAGAAGGTAAAGAAGGAGCCTACTCCGGAGCCGGAGGAGCCGGTTGCAGCGGAAGCCGAGATTGAAGAGGAGGAAGCCGAGGCTGAAGTGGAAGCCGAAGCTGAAGTGAAGGACGAGGAGGTTGAGGACACCCCTCACGACGACGAAGTTAGCCCGGACACCGAGGTCGCCAGAGATCCAAAGGCTGCAGGACTTCGACAGGTCCCGCCAAAACCCTCAGCGAGGAAGCCATTGCCGAGGAGACCCCGTACTCCGTCAAGGTCACCGCCCGGTTACCGTGGAGGAGGATCTCAACCGGCGAAGAAGTGGAAAGGTATCAAGCATATCATTCGGGGGCAGGCCCTGGGGTATAGCGACTACGGACGACGTCCAAAGGGGAAAGGAAAAGGGAAATGGCGCCGAAAGTGAGGAGGCCAGCAGCGGCCGCAAGGCCCGACCGAAGGAGGAGAGGTGTTCTTCGACCTGCAGCCCATCACGAAGATGTCGGAGCAGCGGGGGAGGGAGCCCTGGCATGGGATCCGAGTGTCGGCGATTTGGTGATTGCCGAGGGGGCCCATTACTACGGAGCAGCCTGCCGGTTCACGGGACGCATCCTCAAAGACTCGAGGGACGCGGCAGGACGGCACCTGGCTATTCGACTTCATGGCACAGATCACGAACCCCTGTTGACGTGGGCCACCGGGGCATCAGCCCCTGCTCGCGTGCACCTTTGCCCCGAAGGGTGTTCGAGGGAGTCGGAAGGGCCAGGTCTCCTACACTGCAACGATCTCCGCAGCATCAAGTCCTTAGAGGAGCTAGTCGGAGTCCCTTGGCGCGACGTTTTACTAGAAGGAAGACCCAAAGCAGAGGACGAGCTAGCAGGCTTGAGGTCAAGGATGGATGGCATCGGGGGGCCAAGCCCTGGAGCAGTTGCAGCCGTCGCCGAGATCGAGGAGAAGGAGAAGAAGGAGAAGGCCGAGAAAGAGAAAAAGAAATCAAAGAAAAAGAAAAAGAAAAAGCGCAAGCGAGGACGGTCATCAAGGTCCCGAAGCGAAGGTTCGAAGAAGGAGAAAGAAAGGAAGAAGAAGGCAGACGGGGGGAGAAGCCCTGTGAGCTCATCCAGCACGAGAAGCAGCTCGTCCACGGTCGAGTTCAAGGCAGTGTCACAAGAGGAGCTCTTCCGAGGGTCAGGCTTGGACCCCAACATCAAGACACGACGAAAGCAACGCCGTCGAGCACAGCGCTTGGCCCGGCGGTCTCACCACCAGAAGGACGAGAGCAAGTCGGCATCGTCGGACGACGGAAGGGAGCTGGGGTTGAAGGGAGATCAGGTTTTCGGCGAACCTCAGCGGATACGGGCGATTGCTCTTCAATACCCCGGCGTCCTCAGTGCCCAAGCCATCGACCAGATGCAGGATCTTTTGGTGCAGGAGCTCGGCCAAGATCGACATCGAGAAGGTCAGTGGAGCGCGACGTATCTCAGATACTTCAGACAAACGCTCTTCCGCAAGATGTCGGGGCCGATGTGCAGAGAAGCCCAAACGCTGGCGACAATAGGAGATCAATTATTGAAGGGCTTGGTGCCGGGGGCCCTCGACACCCTGACCCAGCGGCTGAAGTCGCTG